TCTGAATGTGAATATAAAATTTCATAGAAATCTATCGAGATCTTTCGGGGAAATAAAATCACTAGCACCATTACAAAAGAATCTTATATGTAGATTTGTAGATGTGTATATAATATATACACAAGGGTTGTCCTTAATATGGACATCTCCAAATTTCCTTGCTTCCAAGGGCTAGAATGGTTCCAAATTGATAAATAACAATTCTCTGAAAGTTTTAGCTCTTAATAATAACTGTAAGATAGCGCGCACACAAAACTTTGATTGAATTGGGCTCTATCTAAAAGACAATATTAAAATCTAAAACTTTCAGAGAATTGGTTTTTATCAATTTGGAACCATTTAAGCCCTTGGGAGCAAGGAAATTCCAAAATGTCCATATTAAGGACCACCCTAGTATATATATATATATATATATATATATATATATATATATATTTCAAGAAACATATAAAATATTTTTAAAAATGCTTAAGTAATTGTGCTGTATTAACAAAGCAGAACTATCAAATATGATGTCATAGATATACTCCAATATCTTAAAAAGAATGGGAAATGTGGATCAATAATTTATTTTTGAAATGAAAAATGATAGAATATCTATTACCAAGATTATATGTTCATGGAATAATAATATGACAAAACATCAATTTTTATATAAAATAATCATTTTCCAAATAAAACCGGTTAATTCTTGAAGGATTATCTAAAATACTATTATTCTACCCTTTTATTATAGTGCTTTGTTTTCGTTCTGACGAAATCAAATCAATTATTTCTGTTTTACCCCGTCTATTATGTCGTTTAATCCTACCTGATTGTTATTTTCTTCGGCCAGTCGGTCGGACTTGACCGCATCGTGAGGACTTATTCTAACCCCAATTACCTGACTACTGCCACTCAGCAAGAAACCAAAGGGTGAAACTTTATGATAAGAGAAATTAAATCTTATACTTGGTAATAAGGTTTCAGATTATAATTATAATCATAATATCATAATTTAAACAAATTTATAGACTTTTATAAAAATGATTTTTTAAAAAAATATAATTTTACTTTCTATATTTTATTTCAAAATATTAATATAAAATTGGAAGAGAAATATTATCATTTATATAAAGAAGTTTTTATATTTCGAGCATCAGATTTGTCTTACTTTCATGTCTCCATAATGTTTACCTTCAGTAATAAAATTAAGTTATAGTTCTCCAAAGTTCATACATCTGTATAACTTTCAGAAGAATCATTTTTCCCTGAACATATGTGTCAAAGAAGCTAGTGAATAAATAGCGTCTGCAACTATACAGAGACCTCAGGCGTGATAACCTTACTGGGATTAATTAGCTGTTAAGCTTTAAAACGTATTAATTTTAATGGAGTTACTTGAGCAGAGAATGCTGGAATCGTGTTGCTGTTTCCAACACTTGCTACTTTAAATTTAATATATAGTTATATTCGATATATGTATTACATATGCGCGAATGCTTTGGGAAATTAATTATTGTTAATTTTACGAAAACTATGATTTGTTTCATTCATTAAATTTCGAGCATTAAGGTATAGACCAGGTGTTGGTACAGATGAAGTAAGGAAATTCAATTTTGTTTGCATATTTAGGTATCGAATGAATTGCACTAATAATAACGATTTTTTCTAATCTTATTCTGAAAAATGATCATTAAACTTACACATCAAATTATTATCTATTTTATAGAGATTTTACTACTCGATACGATATATGTTATAATTTCTATTAATGTCATACTAATATTTATAGTATTGTCCTGAAACTCAAATGCCCTCAAAATTGGATTTCAAAATTTTCTAAAAATTTCAAAATTGTATTCAAAATTTTAAATAAAGAAGTTCAGAGTACCAAATTTATAACATCTGTAATATTACTAAAAAATATAATAGAACTTCCCGGTCCAAAAATTATTTTTTTAAAAACGATTAAAATTTTTGAAAAAAATTTACTTAAAAAAAAAATCGGTTTTTAAGAAACTATAAATTTGATAAAAAATTACTTTTTTCGAAAAAAAAAATTCTTTATTTTGACATATTTTGGAAAATTTGACCTTTTTTTTCAAAATAATCGTACTGCTTTAACTGCATAGAGACAAAATGTCAAAGCGTCAAAAGTACGGAACCCATAGGAATGTAAACAAAATTTATACTTATTGTTAAAATCTCTATAAAATATTTGGTAATTTGATGTGCCTAAGTCTAATAATCATTTTTGACCACCAAATGGCATTTTTTCATTAGATCTCCGAAACCGCTAGACCCCTGCCTTCATAAAAATTTGATCAGTTCTTCATCTTATCAATGCAAGTAAAATGTTTTTTGAATTATTAAAATCGGTCGCTTCGTTTCCTTAAAAAATGAGTTACCATTTTTGGCACTTTTAGCCCCGTATCTTCGGAACGGATAGACCTACCTTTGCCAAAAATTTCCAGCACGTTTCCTTATTAATAGGAATCCAATGTTTTTTGAATTATTCAAATCGGTTGATCGGTGTTCCCAAAATCGTCGACGAAAATTTGTATCCGCACACACACACACACACATACATCCATTTTTTCTAAGTATGCCAAAATATTCAGAAACCTTTGAAACGTAAAGATATATGAAAATATTCATTTTCGATTTTTTTGCGATTTCTATAACTTACCCTACGGGAAGTTAAAAATAAATACTTGTTTAAAGTCCGCCAATCTTGTGTGCTCGAATAATAAGTCATTATCCGAGTTTTCTTTTCAAAATATTTTATGGAAGCAATTTGTTTAATCCGGAATACCATTTAATATTATACAATTATACCTATTCTCAAAAATTTTCCTTCAATCTTATAAGTAATACGTTTTCGACCCGAAAGAAATGACGGTCATTGCTGCATCCGACTTCGGCGTGTGTTCCGCGCCCCAGAAAGGTGCACTCCGTCAACTAGATTGATTGCGCGGTGGCGATAAGGCCCTGCCCATTGTTCGGTGAAACTGTCCAAGTGCTCGCGCAATTTTTCAATTGTTATCTTTTTCTTGTATCGGCACAAAATGAATTTACTCAATGAGGTTTTATAATAGTATGAAAGGTACGTAATACATCGAGAAATAACTCTTAACAATTACGATCATTCATGCACAGATTATATTAGTAGTTTGAAAAATTTGTTGTGCGTATTTGTATTGTGCAATACATGTACTTTATCAATTTAGGATTTTAATACTATGAATTTCATGAGTTTTAAGAAAAACCTTTGGAATTTTGCTAAATAATTTTCTATTGTAAATATAGCTATCTACTTATATATTATATCTCAATCATAATATTAGTCTATATGTGTTCTGTTCTCATAAAAGATATTGTTTGGTTGATTTAATTTTTAGTTCGATTTTAAACTAATAGTTTTATTATGCAAACGTGTATTCAATGAATTTTCAAACTAGGTATGAGTGACATTTTACCTACCATTTTATCTACCTATATGTCTGGCATACACGTGTCTATCTCTCTACATTTATTACCTGTTACATGTTTGCCTAATAACCTGTTTACTTGTCTACCTCTTTACACATTTACCAATGTATCTGATTACCAATTGGCCAGTCCACCTGTTTACTTGTATGCCTGTCTACCTATTCACCTATCTACCTGTCCAACTGTTTACCTGTTTACAAATACACCTGTTTTCCCGGTATTCGGATAAATTTATGGGTGATGACACTCTTCATCTTTTTCTGCATTAAAAAAATATGTAGTACGCATTATAGTATCGTAAATATATCCATATAATATTTATTCATAAACGAAGTGGATAGAGAAGACATTTTCTCTGGTAATCTTGATCATACAAATATAGTGGCCAGTATGTTTGATTGAAAATATAAACAGATCTCTCCAAAGATCAAGTATACATTTATGTATTATTAATTCAATTTTTTTAACAAGTTCTTTTCATGCAAAAACTTATCTTTATCAGCACCGTATAAAAATCACTTCGGCTTGAACAAACACAAGGCATAAAATACTGAAAAAATATATTATATTTTACTATATTCGTGGCTCGTCGAGTGTTAGTGTTCGCATGACGTGACAGCGTTTAGTTTTTTAATTGGAAAACTCAGCGCCCTGAGGGGCCGCGACATGCAGCCTCGATTTAAGCATGTCTGGCGCAAAACGCTGAAAATCAAATTAACTTTAAAAATCATACACTGACGGAACTGAATTATTGAATATGGACTAGTTTGATGTGTCTTTAATAGGATCTGCTACAGTATTTGATAGGTTGCACGCACGCTGTAAATGATAAAAAATTAATACTTAGTAAGTGTAAACTACATTTGCATAGGATCATATATTTTTTATGTTTATGTGTATTAATTGGACGTGCTTTTGGTATACTAATATTTAACATCCCGTAGTGTAAGTTATAGTAATCGTAATTCGAAAAGGGAAATTTTAGCATTTTTTGCGTTTTATGGCTTTCTGAACATGAGGGCATACCTTAAAGAAATTTGATGTAAGTAAAATTGATGTATGTGTGTGTGCGTGTATTTTTTTGTCAACGATTTTGAGAGCACGAATCAACTGATTTTAATGATTCAAAAAACAGTAGCTTCGAATTGTTAGTCAATTGGGTTTCGGCAAAGTCAGGTCCAGCCGTTTCTAAGATATGAGGCAAAAAGCTCTAGAAATGGCAATTTAGTTTTTGAAAAAATGAAGAGACATTTGGATGATGTAAAAATCAAATCACTTGTATTGACGGCCTATCGAAGAGTTAATTTTGTCAAAAAAATTTAAAAAATAAAACTCTAAAAAAATTAAATTACAATATAGGAAGTTTCAACACTTTGCCTTAAGAGACGATACCATGCCTCACTACTACTTAATTTATTGAAATTGTTAAATCTCCAATTAATATTACAAGAAGTTTACTTTATTTGCAATCTTAATTTTGTAAATTAATTGTTTTCAAATGTTGATTTTCTTCATTTTTATTTCAGATGTTAATATGGTTGCTGAACCAAAACCACACCAAACTGGACGTAAACGCCAAAATAATACAAAAACTGGAAATGATTGGTAAGTGAAATCTTCTTTTATTGATACTATCGTACAAGATACATATAAACGCATATATAATTGACATCATATATAAAATATTTATGAATTAAAAAATTAATTATGGATTGTCAAAGATTTAGTTTTATATATGGGTATTAAAACGGATAAAAAATTAAGTAAAATTTTGAAATTTATAAAGTTTATATATCTTGATTATATAGAAATTGATATCAGCAAATAATGATTATTATGGGTTGTTCGTGAATTTGCAATCAATTTGTAAAAACAAATGAGTATGATACAAAGCAACTCCCAAATGAAGTTTTTAATTTAACCAGACTTTTACCACGCTGGCGTCAAACTAATCACCAAAAACTGTTAATAAATTCCACTTTTTCGCATACAAAATAATTTACTTTCCATTGTCCGTCCTGGCTTGTATCGTGACAAAATCATTCACAAAACCCATATGTTTCTACGTGGAAATCATGAAGGCATAAATGAAATTTACATTTGTCGACTGACAAGTGAATTTCCCACGATCGGCAGTGTTATTTTTTCGAAGCCCCAGGGCCGCGGGCGTTCGCAATAATGAATGCGCATACATAGCGCATAGTCTGCGGCCGCCGTATAGTTCGTAGGTTGTAGCCGACCGGCGGGCGCGAATCATACGCCAATGCATTTATGCGATTGCATCATCGGACCGTATGCGCCGTTATGAATTTCGATAGATTATTCCCGAAGCCTCGGGGTTCTGGCGGTCAGCCCGGCTCACCCCCAGGGGCCCGAGTCGGTGCTGTGAAGCCGAAAGAGCTAGAGAACGATACCTTCGAATTGTTCGAGCCAGTTGAAATTGGTTGCGGATTATGGGTATAAATCTGATCATTCCAGATTAGGCGCTGACTTAGAACAATCTATTGATAATTAAGTCAATTTATAAATGACAACAAATTGATGCTTGTTAAATATAAATAAATGGCTATGTCGAACGGGGAATAAATGAGTTATATATCATAGTGTGTACGTCGAGTCAAATAGTGCAAGGCTTATAAGTTTGAGTGCACAAAATATTTGGGAAAACATCAAAGAGTGTTTCAATAAAAATGATAATGAAATTGGAAATACATGTTTAATGAATTTTATTAATCAAATGTTGGAATGGCTATTAAGTTTCTATAAAAATCCCTGAACATTCAAAAACAGTGTCGAAATAAAATTAATTAATTTGTCTATGTTAGAAGATAAATACGATAATAATATAGTAATATAGTTAATACATTCTATTGTATTAATTGCAGCATGATACTAGTTCAACATATACTAATATTCAAAAAAAAACAGAAAAATTATGATTTGTTAATAAACCATAATATCTAAGTACTAAACATTTGTTTTAGAAGTATGTGTACAATCATTGAAATTTTAACGAAATAAAAATACGTTTAACAATGTGAGGACGTATACAGGTATTTATATTAATTAACTTCAATATTCATTTACTTCACTTGAATCATTGGTAAAGTGTAGACGAACCCCGCTCTAGACAACATGACATCCTTGAGTAGAGATGTCAATTTTCACTTGAAAATCTAGCTCAAAAATATGTTTCTAATCGAAAATAGCCTGTTTCGGGCATTGCGGTTTAACGGAAATGGGAACTCTTTTTCATGAATCGATTTGGAGTTTAACTCTGCTCACGGACCTGCTATATACTAGGGCAATCCCTACACATTATTTATTTATTATACTTTACTTATATAATTATAAAATCATTAAATTTAGCAGTTTTATTTACCAGAAACGACCATATTCATATGGGTTTTTATGTAATATCTTCAATGATTCATACAATTTATATTACTAAAAATACTCAATTATGAAACAAGCTTGTGACGTAGTATTTGTCGTTACGAAATATTGAAAGTTTTTATATACATCCACACTCCAAATAAAATTTAAAAATTGGCTGTGATTTTCGTTATACTTTACTTACATGTTTATAAAATCTTAAACAACAGAAACAACTATATTAAGGTGATATTTTTAGGCCAAAACTACGACGGCAACTCGTAGTAAACGAATTGATTTTTTTATAAAGGATTACTGACTTTTTGTAGTGATTTATTATCCGATTATATGTTATATATCGTCTTATATTTTATATATACTTTTCTTTTGCTTTTAAGCCTTGTGTAAAATTATGTTAAAATTGTTTTTATAATTAACTCACTTAGTTCAAATTAGCAATTATTCAAGGCGGTACAAAATGTCGTCCTCATAATTTTTGTGAAATTGAAAATAAAAAGTTCAAAATTATATAATTATCAATAAAATATTGTGATTTTTATATCGAATGGAAAAACAACTACTGGGTTGTTTTTTTCCAACATGCCATTGTGTTATACAATGTCCCTTTTCAGCCGACTATTGTAAATTCATCAAATTTATTGAATGTCCTTTACTGGACAGTTGTAAATAAAAGAGATAATAAAAAAAATATTTTAGGCTACTTTAACCGCGTTTAGAATTTTTCATTCGAAAATTTTCTCTTTTATATTGTATTCTTTCATATAAACATTCTTGTTACATTTTCATATATTAGATGAATAGTTGCAATTTTATTAGCGAAAATTAAATTCAAACTTATATTTTTCGGAAACCCAGGACAAATATTTCTTTAGGAAAAATCCGGAACACTAGGTGGAAATCCAGGACAGTCCCGGCTAAACCGGGACGTATGGTCGCCTTAACTATATTCACTTGGATTTTTGTGTCATCTATAATACATAACATCGAAATTTATACAAATTTCATCATTCACCACTACCACAGTCATGCACAAAGCATTTATATACACCTGTCCTTCAATATAACTTTATCAGCAACAATAGTCGATCAAGAAATATTCACCAGCCTCCACTTTACTCTGAAATCTCCCTCTGTCCATGAGTTTGTGATGCTGACCGAACCCACCGACGTGTTCCAACCGCTTCTCCCTAGCTTGTGTGAATTAAATGTAAATTTTTATTGCACCGCCGCGGCAGTTCGTATGCCGACGAGGCGGACCGGTCGCCGTTCCGATGGCCAACTACGTTCCGCGTATGCGAACTCGGGCTGCATATGCGAAAATGGAACACGTGTTAGAGCATACAGTTATTACCGCAGAGATCGGGTATATGGAGATCGTTTTGGTTATGACTTTATAGTAAAATTAACATAACTTTATACTGTAATTGTCTCAAAAGAATTTGTTTGATATGAAGGGTTTGTGGTTTTAACCAATATTTAATGTTGGCGTGTATTTATTTAATATTCTGGCATCAATTTGTGTAGTTTGTGGTCATAAAAACATTCTGAATATATGAATATCATATTTGCCTAAAGTGCGTAAATCGATTTTTATACAACAAAGTTGATTCGATAATTACGTACATTGGTAATGTAAAACTACAAAATAATTTATTTTTTCTATTATCTATTGATTGAACATGGGCTCGCTCGTGGGTAAGTCGCTAAAACCACTAACCAAAGTTTGATTCCACTTTGAGCAGCCTGTTATCAAGCAGTAATGACAAAGTTTTTTGCTTGCAAATATAGATGACGATATGTTGTCAAGTGAAAATAGCCCTCATTACAGAAATTGTAATAACAATGTATGTTACAGAGATGGAACAACTGTGAATGGAACAAATGCCAACTGTCGAATAGACTAGTATTAAGTCAAATTAGCATAACACCTTATAGGACTATTGTTCTAATTGCTGTTCAAAGATTATAAAAAAAGATTGAATAAATTTACCTATTATGAAACACTTCAACTATTTTTTTTGGTAGTGTTTGAGCTTTTAATATATAAAACTTTGTCTCAAAAATAACTAATTGTGAGTACCTGCAAAAACATGCCATTCTTAGGATTTTATTTGTTACTCGATATTTTCAATAATAAAATTATCCAGTATTTTGCCATTTTAAAAACCACATTAAATGCGTCAACTTTTGGTGTAACTTACCCACATACTTAAGTTCTCATTTTTAGATGTGGGCATATCAAAGTCGGCCGATTTTGAAAATATTCTCTTTACAGTTCAACAAAAAGTCCTAATTCTTGAAAACTTGAAGCAATTGTGGTATATTTTTACAGTAGTTCTAGATATGTTATTCACTGTTACGCTTCCAAAGTTTGAATAAAAGAAATTAATAAAAGATGAACACGATAACTGAAAAATGGTCATGGTCTTACCAAAGCTCTAGGTCGCACTTAAAAGCTTATAATTTTCAAACAACGTGTATTTTTGGAATTTTCTTCAGGACACTTAAGGTTAATATAATACTATCACGCCATTTAGGTTTGACGTTGAAGTCTGGGACACTCTATATTTATTCACTATTCCTTAGTTACCTATACGTCTAGAATTTCTCCGAATTAAATCGTAATAAACAACAAACTCATTTTGCTTTTTGTCCAAATGAAAAATATTGGAATGTTATTAATAGACATTCAGATAGATATCAAATTTAACATTATTAAATCTATTATTTATAAAATCTATTATTGTGATATGTTACGAATATTCTGTCCGAAAATTAAAGTATGATTGAGAAAAATTGTCTTATGGTCAATAAATAAGTTTTTTATCGGTTACATTAAAATTGCAAATACAATTTAATAACTATTGTTTTGTTTATTTATTATATATATATATTACATTGTAAAAAATATTACATTTTCTCTGATATTTTAAAGTGCATAAACCATACTGCCCGACGCTGAAACTGAATATTTACAAAATCACTTTATTTTATCTCTAAAGATTTACTCAAAGTAAATTTAACGAGCATGCACTGGAACACATCACAATGGGCTATTTAGCCTTTATAAAGTATTGAAGGAATCTTTAGCACGATGAAACTTTATTTACATAGCAACGTCTGAACTTATTTCAAAACTTGTGCGATGTTTTCTTCTTAATAAATAGTTTGCGAAATTATTACAGACGCAGCGATAAACCGCAAAGAAACCTC